GCTTCGTTGACCCACAGGAAGTAATCTTGTTGGACCTCGAAAAGGATGCGACCGCACAAGTCCACCGCCACACTCCGGTTGTCAGCATGCAGGCCATGGATGGTGTGGAGGTAGGATCCCAGCGAGAGGGCCACATCACGCACCGAGCGTGAGACGGGATGGTTTCCTCCATGGAAGACGTCTATCATGATGGAGAAACCATAGAGCTTTTCCTCCGCGATGCGACCATCGGTGGGAAACTTGACATCGGTGGAAGTGATGGCAATGGCATCTTCCAAGGTGACCGAGGCTCCCTTCTCAACGTACTCCGCTCGAGCAGCCAAGTCCTGGACCGCCTTTGCTTCCGAATGGCCTTGGCATACTACTGAGAAGGGGGAGAGGCCCTCGCCCAAGGTGGTCCCTTGACCGTTCACGAAGTACTTGCGGAAGACACGATCCAGAATGTGTCCAGTGACCAAGGGTTTGTTCGCGAGGTTGATGGGTAGTGCCGAAGCCTGAGTGCGTTCGTCTAGTTGGGCTTGCAAGATTCCGTGTTCATTCCCTTTGGGGGACTTCGCGAGCAGACGGTGAATGACGGGGAGGTTCGCGTCATCGGCTACGTTGCAGAGGTTGTGGACGCGAGTGGCAAGTGCGACCCCGAATTTATCCGTGAAGGTTTTGTTGCTCTTCTCACGGTCATACTGGAGTTGTTGTTCGACGGTGGCCTCCAGTGTATCACGTAGGTTCGTGATTCCCGCGTTGAAGGTTGCGTTGGTCAGGCCCGGACCTACCGCGCCAAGCGCCGCCATGTAGGGGGGAGTACCCGGTTCGTGCTTCGTTGGAGCGCGTTAGCGCTGATGGGCACGGCCACGTTAGCAGCAGCATTACTAGTGGATGTGTGGCCTCCCGCGACCAACGTGCAACAGGCGCGGAACCATTGGACCAAAGGGCGATGGCAGCCTGTCGTGCAGGATCCGCGTGAGTCATCTCGGGGGTAAGGACTTCCGCACGGAACTGGGGAAGACTGTACTGTCCTTCGGGACGGGCCACAAGGACGGCTTCAGAGAGATAGGACGGAAGTGGCATCACACGACGGACCCGGAAGACATCAGTGTCCGCGACACCACCGCCGTGGGGGCCACTGTGTAGTACAGGAGCCGGCACGGCGGTGAACATCGTTCCTCCGTCAATAATTGTCATGTTGTGGCAGGTTACGTCAGCCGTGCACTCGAACGCTGACATAGGAAGGACTACCGTGACAGCGCTTCGAAGGTCGTTCCCCACCACGATAGCGTAGAGATTGTCGTAAGGAGAGACCTGGCTAGGATTCACGGGGTAGGCGTAGAGTGAATGTCCAATGTAGATATTCGTTTCGTCATTCTGGAGGACGAAGCCAAAGGTGACAGGTGAACGAAGGCAAAATTGGCTCATAGCGCGAGAGGCAACATCATGATTCGCATTCGAGGCGCCGCCCACAGAAGTGAGCATATCAGTGTAGTTTGGAGCATGTACCTCCCATGCCGCTGCACGAGAGACGAGATCCGAAAAATTAGAGCTGGCCATGGTGAGGGTCGAAAAGATACGAAACCTGATGCCGGCGCAAGAGATTAATCTAATCTAGGTTCTTGCCTTCAGCGTCGGCTGAATGAAGAATTGTGAGCTGAGAGAGAGACAACCTTCTTGCGATCGGCGGTTCAATGGCTGGTCTTGGCTAGGTCGCTGGCTTTAGTGATTCATGGTTGCCGCTGTCGATCTTGCCAAATGTGGTCTTGGACGGGCGTCGTTGCCTTAAGGGTAATCTTGTTCGAGAGGCATTGAGGAGCTGATGCGGTGCCTCATCATGTGGGGTATCCATTTCCGGAATGCAGGTGATGACCTGCGAGATGTAGAGATGTACTTGAGTTGTAGGTGAGGAGCGTGGGAATTAATTTTGCAAATTGTGAGATGGTCCTCTCGGCAACCATGATTAGGGTCATAGTTGCGAGAACCTATCAGGGTTCAAGTTTCCATGCTGCGGGGCGTGGAAACTCGGACGGGGGTTCCCCAGGCGTGTTGCTGCTCAACACGTATCCAGTCATCCTGGTCAGTTTCATCCTTATTCCAGCCTTGGCAACCACTTCCATAAATGTCGGCTCTTCAAGGACCAATGTTGCCTTTACCATTTCGAAGTTCGAGCATCTTACAAGTGCCGACAACCGCTGCGTTGGAGGCAATGCCAGCAGCGATGGAAAGCACGGCAATTTCTGCGATTAATCCAATAAGGCTCATGTTTGCTTTGGAAGGATAAAACTTGGTGGATGTTTTTGTAGATGTTATTCTTTAGCTAAAGAACGTTTTTATGGTGTTGTGATGAGTTTTATGAGAGATGTCAACTTCAGAATACAAAAATGATGCGAAGCCCTGGTGCACATTCGAAAACAATGATCAGTGACTAAATAAATGTAACTCTAGACAGCTGACAGTCACGCTTGTGTGTCCACTGAGGCCTCCTGCGATACTGCAGGCTCTTTTTTCCATGTGAGTTGTGTTCCACTGAGTTATTGATGTACTGACTACTTAATTAAATCCTTCTTCAAATTCTTCTTCAAACCATTTTTACTGTATCAACCGAGCTGTTTTGAGCATTAGAGGGATTCTAGCATTCTAGCATCAACCAATTCAACGACAAAACGAGAAGTGCTCTTTGTACGCTACAGAACTGAGTACCAGGTACCTGAGTACAGCTTTGCGAACTTGCCAACTGGCATTTTTCAGCACTGGTACCGGTACCTAGTGTACCGGATACCAAGGTTCCAGTACATGATACGTAGTTCGTATTTCATTACGTACCGTTTCGCATGGTGAAGGTTGCTGGCACAGGGTCAAAAGGGCTTACAAGCGCACTCTAGCACTACTGTGTGTGCTGATCAGTACTGTACTCAGTAGGTATTCAGTAGCAAGTAAACAGTACCGGTGCTGGTACTGGTGTTGAACATGCCAGCATAAGCCGGGGTTGTCACATACATACACGTAGCATGTACAGTACGTGCTACAGTTCACAGTTCCACCAAATGAGAATTCGCGATCTACAAAATAATCTGCGATACCGGTACATCATGTTCTACCGGTACCTCCAAGCCACAGGCCATAAGGCGCCTTACGGAGATGAGCAGACGTACGGTATGATGTACTAGTATGCTAGTATGTGTTGTACAGTACAGTGTGCAGCCAGGCCGCGCACGCCGTACCGTACGCTCGACGCAAGATCAGCGCACTCTTCACCTCCAACCTCCAAGCGTCCACTCTAGCTAGCTAGAGCTAGCTAGTACAGTCGTAGAGCCTGCCTGCCTGAAGCCTGTTCGTGAGGCAGTCCCTCCCGCCTTGGGACTGCAAAGCGGAGAAGCAAGATAGCTCAAAACACAAATGGGGCTCTAGCTAGCTAGCTGGATTCAATCATGCAAACCTGGCAACTGGGCAAGTCCTTCATGGTGGACCTACCGGTATACATGTAGTCAGAATGAGAGCAGATGAGGGCGGGAACAGCACATGTCTGACAGAGAAAGTACTACATGTATTAATAGTCTGATACGAGTGGTTTAGGAAAATTTAGGGTTATCGGTGGCGGGTACAACTAGTAAGCTATCCTACAGTTACTGCTCCGTGGGCATCAACAATACATTATGGCTAGCTACATCATGTTCTTTGCTTGCTTCACCAGCGATTTCCATTCATTGGTCGGCACCAAGTAACAGCGCTGGCTCTCCGCAGGGTCTGCTCGGCTCAAGATGCCAATGACCTCTCCCTGCTGGTTCACGCACGGACCACCACTATGGCCACCGATAGTAGGACAAATTACAACGATTTCCTTCCGTGGCTTGAAGCGATGACGTTGGTACTCCTCTTCACTGATATCTCCCGAAAACATCTTGCAAACGTAGCCACGTGCAAAATCGACGTAGCGATTGAGGCTCTGGCCTGGACCGAGCAAACCTTCCCCTCCTTGGTTGTAACCAAGGATTCGTACTTGTTCGTCTAGCTCAACTTTCTCTGTGATCTTCAGTGCTTGTAGCTTCTCCTTCTTGAGTGCGTCTGGGTTGTTCAACAGCAATCGTTCTGGTTGGTCTCCGCAACCATCGCCGTCGCCACCAACATCGTTTTCCATTCTCGTGGTGATCCTGAGAACGCAAGCATCGAGGTGACATTCACCCTTGTCAATGCTGGGGTCCTTGGTGACAATGACCGCGAAATACCGAAACATCGCCATGGTAGCGTCGGCGTTGCTTGAAGCCTCCTTTTGGCGGGGGATGACGCCTATCACAACTTTGCCCTGGCGCAGCCCGTAGTAGTTTTCACCGAATGGGGTGTTCTTGTCGCCCCAGATGTTCATCAAAGTGTGGCTCGCCGTGACAATCAAGCCGCGCTTCTTGTCCACGACGAATCCTGAACCAACACGGACAACTTTCCTGGTCTTGCCATCGAACAGACCGACAACGACGACTCCTCGAAGTAGTTCCTTCACTGGGACGGTTGGATCCTTCTGCCCGCCTGGTTCGTCCTCGACATGCTTCTCTCGTTCTTTGTCGACTCGTTTGGGCTCATTGGAAGGACCGGCTATCAACGAAGTATCTACTCGATGACCATCCCTGCATCGCAACGTTCCGTCACCGTTGAGAACGGCAGCTCGCAAGACAGTGAAATCCCAAGCGCTTGTCCTGCTCAGAGCGCTCTTGGCTAAGCAATCAGTGCAGAAAGCTTGTCGTTCGAATTCGAGACCTCCATACTCTTCCATAACCCGCGCCACCGACTGAACAACGAGAAGATATCCTCCCTCCCATATCTTTCGACCTCGGTCCCCCACTTGTCCCTTTGCACTGGTAATCAACCGTCGCATTCCTATCCCCATGTAGTCTGATCCCACACACATGTTTGAGTCGCGGTCGACCAAGTGCGTGAAGATTTCGACAATGCTTTCTTTGTTGTCTGAGGATTGCGTGCCAAGTTTCAAGTAGAAGGCGGTTCGCCAGCAAAGCACCTCTTTCACACTGAGGCGCCCTTTTGGTTTTTCGCTTTGTCGAGTCTTTTGAGCCACGGCGTACACATTGCTCAGCACAGAAGCAGTGATTCTCTCCATGAGACCAGGAGGAACACCATCCGGGAAGAGCACTGAGTGAGCCAGGGTAATTTTCCAGGACTCGGAGTTCTTGTATGTCCACGCCTCGGCCGGTTCACCTGGTCCAAGAAGGCTTGGCAAGAAGAAGAACTTCGCCTGAAGCGGAGAATCATCTGCTGTTGTCGTTGGATCTGTGGTTGTCGTGTCACTGATACTTACCTCCGAAGGCAGAGCGCCGCCAGAGGCATCTTCTTGACCAGCGTAATCTTTTCCTCCCAGGAAAGCCTTCTCAATGCTTAGGTCAATCGGAACAAATACACCAAATCGGATGAGAAGCAACAGTAAGAATTCAAAAGGAGTCACAGTCATGTTGCTGGATGATTTCAGGGCCCTGTCCGCGGCCTTCTTTGTGATTTTCTTGGCCTGCCACAACATTTTAGCGTCACGGGCTGTTATCACGGGACAATTTAGGTGGGCGTCGTAGAAACTTGGCGCTACACTGGCATTCCTCTCAGTAGCACTCAGAGATCTTCGCGTTTCCTGAATCTCGCGATCTAGATCGTGACGAAGGATACAAGCCACCGCAGCGACGAGCCACCGAGGATTCAAAAACACAAACTGAGACAGCCCATTCATATTCCAGTCGGGAAGCGAATTTGTTAGAGAACTCTCTTCCGTTACTTGAGCCGAATTTGCTAGTGTTGTGTCGTCAACCGAGAGGAACGTGGCTCCCTCTTCGTAGTCGTCGTCAAAGTCATCGTCGTCTAGTAGGTCGTCATCATCGGAATCGTCGGCAGCCGACCGTCGGTACTGCAAAACGACAGAAGACGAAGTGAGAATGATTCAATCATGGACAAAAAAGCAGAGAAAACCACTACCAGCACATACCGCCCTGGCTGCCTTCCTTATGTTGTCTCTTCGGAGCGTGTTCCTTGTTTGCTTATCCGTCAAAACTGCTCCAAAGTACGACAGCTCGCCCACATTTGTCAGGAAATGCAATGCGTCACTGATATCCTCTACGCTGGCTAAGCCGCGATCCTTCAATTGATCAAGGAAATAACCCCATTCCACGACCTTGAAGCGATTCCGTAGATTTCGCACAGCCTCGCGAACCTCCAGTCGCATTCGGGGGATTCGAGCCCCAATGTGTCCGCGGAAGATGGGGTGTTGCCATTGCCCCTTAAAGCGTCCGGTCGCAATATCAATGATTTTCTTGGTCAAATCGTCGAATCCTGTGTACATGGAACCACTCACTCGAACCACCGGATCGTCATCACCCCAGAAAATTAACTTGGGTCGGGTGTATGAGTCCAGTAACTTTTGAAGCCTCACAGCTCCTTCGTCGTTCGCGCGATTGGAGTCATGATACTCTTTGAGACGCTGTTGGATTCCCTCGATTCTCCTCTCCTCGTGGCGGAGAAGGCGGTTTTTCATGACCCTGCAACGGCGTTTTGCTTCTTCAATGCCGCCCTCGCTTTCACTGAAGTGGTCATTGAAGGATGCGACGGGAAGAATTGCGGCTCCAGGAGCGCTGCTTTGGATGCAATCCACCCAGAATTGTATTTTTTCATCAATGTCTCTATATAAGGCACGATCCGCGCGACGAGCTCCGATTCGACATCGAAATCATCCTCTTCTTCCGACTCCTCTTCGTCACTCGAATCATAGCTAAGCTTGAAAGCCCCTCGCTCGTCTGCACGAGAATTCTTTCGCCGCAGAGTGCCTCGATTTGTTGCACCCATATCCCAAACCAACACATAAAGTGCCCGAGGGCTGAAGAAGAGTTGATGTGTCGCGTGATAGACGTGTTGACCGGCAAAGTCCCAAACGCTGAATTTCACGTCCACGTCATGCTTGTCGATTCCTCTGGCCTCGCAAATCGATCGCTCCAATTCCTTGTCCTCGAATATTATGCGAGAGTCAATGTGCTCAAAGCGCTTGTCCTTTCGGTTGTCCCACTCGTATATATCGACGCCAACTGTACGATCATCGTGTGAAGGAATGATGGCATTTTCACCCTCAATCAGCCGTTTGATCATACTTGTTTTGCCAACCATGGCCATTCCAACAAAGATAACCTTCAGAGTATCGTTAACAGTGATAGATTCTGGAGAGTGTACTTGTTCGTGTTGTGGTTTCACTTCGACGTAGTACTGGTTGGCTGTACTTGCGTCAATACTGCTTTCGGCAGAGTCGGCAAGACTATAGCTCGCTCGTTGAGGAGAGATGGGCCCTTCCTCGTCCTCTTCGACGGTGGCCGGAACCGGCGCAATAGGCTGAGCGCCCTCGCTCTTGCTTCGAGAGGCAATGGCAGGCATTTTTCTATCCTCCGACGGAGTAGGCGATGACGTAATTGAAGATGGAACTGGTGCGGATTGTTGGTGCGTCGGCGCTGTAGCCGCGCTGGATTGTGACATGGATGCTTCATCTGATACCTGTCGCGTCGCCGCTGCTGAAGGCTGCGCTTGTGGTGCCGACGGCGATCTTTGCACGCCTGGCATGAGTAGTTTGGGTGCCTTGAGCAAGCCGTAGCTTACCTTCTTTTTAGTCTTTTTAACGTTCTTCTGGAACTCGTCGAGGTAAGAAGTAGATTTGCTTTGGTTTGATGATGACGCAGCCTGGTTCTCTTCCATTCGTAGACAGTGGTAGTATCGCTTCATCGAGGAGATGCCGCGTTCACATGTCTCAATCGGAGGTTGAATGACGGGGTTGGAACTCACATCAATCATTCTCAAATCCATGTCACATACTCGGATTGGCACCTTCTCTAGAAAGTTGTTCATCACCTTCAACGTTCTCAGAGACTTTAGTAGATCCAAATCGTCTGGCAAGTACGACAAATCGTTGTAACCTAAATTCAGTGTCTCCAGTTTGGACAATACCTGTCTCTTGTTGGCACTGTTGCTGTGGGGAATGATAATCTCAGCTACTTTGTTGCCATACATGTTGAGCTCTTGCAGCTCGGGCAATCCTTCCAACATTGTCTTTAGGACCGTAGCCACGACAAAGAGGAATCTTAGCAATGGCCACGAACAACGAACAAACACACCGACAAACAAGTCGACGGCAACCCGTTCTTACCTCTTCAGGGAAATCGGTGAGACGATTGTGACTCAAATTCAGACGGCGAAGATTGGGCAGATACCATGTTTCTGGCAAGTGATGTAGTTCACACTGCGACAGATCCAGATGCTTCAAGACGGGCAGATTCATCACCAGCTTGCCCGGGATGTACCCTAACCGATTGCCGGCAAGACTCAGTTTGTGAAGAGACTGGCCTAATGAGGTGCCGCAGAGGTCCTTCACGGGGATATCCGCTGCCGCCAAACCCAAGTCATTCAAGATTAACTTTTTCTTGAAGGGGAATCTCACAGTTTCACACTGATCTAACAGCAGATTCACTTTTCGTCGTTTCAAATTGTTGGCGGCATAGTCGCTACTGGAAGCTTGCGTGGATCCTCGTCCGACACTCCCAATACTGGTCCCTCGTCCAGCGCTGGTACTGGGTTCTACTCCCGTAGGAAAGATGAGAGAGGATGACTTTCCCAGCAGCACACTACCATTGGTGGGTTTTCCAAAGAGTAGAGAAGATCCCGCTTCGGCCGACGATCTACCGGTAGCTGCCGTGGCTACGGTGTCCGCTGCCGTACTGGCATCGGCGACACTGAGGGATCCGCTGGTATCGGCGCCCCATCCAAAGGGTGTGCTTCCTGTGTCTGCCTCGCCAGCATCAGTGGCAGCATCCGCAGGAGATGCGCCTTCACTCTGATGTCGCGGTGGTGGGTTGTAGGTATCGTTTTCAGGAAGCGTGTCGCTCATTCCACGCAAGTTGTTTGTTGTTGTTGTCGTGACAACCGTTGTTGGGGGAAGATGCTGATTGGCGTTGTTGTTCATCAAGTGTCCCAAATCATGTTCTGATTGGACTTCCAATTTTTGTCGGCGTTCTGCTTGTCGTTGTTTGCTAGTTTCTTTCTTCTTTTTGCTGCTGACATTTCTCTGCGATGTTGGTGGAGAGGCTACGGCTGTGGGAGCCGAAGCATGTCGAGCATTGCCTTTCGCTGGGGCCTGACTTTCATTTCTCTGTTGATTTTACAAATGAATGAATGGAACGACAACATAATATTGGAAACAAGGAGAGCACAGAGACAACAAGAATCCACAAAGAGGAGAAGCCCCAAAAGCACAAAGGTCAGGTCAGGCCAATGGATTCGCGTCAACGAGAAAGAGACACTCTATGGTTGGCAACAAAGGGGCAACGAACGTACCGATGAATCGTTGTGATTGCCACCCGAGACTCCCGAGACCGCCGACGAAGCCGCGTTCAAGGCAGCTCCCAAGAGACTCGTTCCTCCTCCACCCGATTGCTTCTTCTTCAATCCACCCTTTCCACCTCCCATTGTCCGTGTCCGAGCTGACTGTAGCGGGGAACTCATGACAGCACTCCTGGCAGCAGGTGCCTGATTGCCACTCTTTTGCAGAGCTTCCATCCTCCAGAAACTACCGTTCGATCCAGCGGCTCCACCTGCTCCAGCACCGGCATTCTTCGTGCCGTCGCCATTATTGAGGTCTCTACTGCTATCTCCTTTATTGTTGTTGTTGTTGACACTGTTGTGGCTTCCTGTCGAGTCTCGACGATTGTAACTTCGATGAAAGGCGTCTTCATGTTCGTCTTCTCGCTGAGCCAAGAAAGATTCTTGTTCGTAAGAGTAGGAAGGCTCTGCTTCGTCAGGAGTCGACCGCAGGTCACGCTGGAGATGATGGATGGGACGCGGCTTGCTGCTACTACTACTCGACATCCTTCTCGTGTGTTGTGCTTCTTCTATCCACTGACGCGCTGCTTGCTTCTACGTTGGATGGCTGTTGCGGAAACGGCTGCAGCCATCGATCCAGTCTCTGTCTGGGATATGACTGCTGGAGCTGTTGCTACGGTACTGGATGGAAAAGACTCGACTCTCTGACAACTAAGAGTTGCTCTATCGTATCGCAGGTCAACAAAAGGACCGGTCAGAGGGACCGTAGCGACAGAACAAGAAAAAATTATTGATGATAAATGTCGAGGAGATAGATAGAAGAAGACTGCTTTGCTGCTTTTGACCATTGTTGTGTCGTTGCGTCTACCGGCTACCGGTACATACGGTACGGTACTACTACTACGTACACTTACACTTCATGGAGCTGCCTGCACCACCAGGTAAGATTCCAAATAAAGCTTTGAGTACCGTACCGGATGAGACGAAGAGCTTTCTTCCTCTGCTCGTGACAGCACCGATGTCCTCTCAAGGCGGATCCTTCGAGCAGCGCTCCACGACTGCACCAACTCTGCTCCCTACCAGTACTGGTACTTGTGTACCTTACCCGCACCACCTCGCCCTGGTAATTGCTACTGTGGTAGCTAGTCTACCCAGCCCACAGGAACCATAAAAGAGATACTGACAACATGGAGCAAACATGATTATCTGTTGCCATTTTCGCAGAGATTGATTTTACCACTCAAGATTGCCAAAGTTTTCCGGCAGCGGCCGGCTGCCCGAGTACAACCCTCTTCTGCTGCTACCGTGAACTAACAACGCAGACAATTGGACTTAGCCATTATTCCGTACTGATGAATGATAGCACAAGCGCAGCGGTGCAAGGGAGAGGGCAGGACAAGAGCATCTTCTCCCGATTTCCGTGGCTAGCAGCTAGACTAGCTAGGTGGACTGCGTCCTTCAAACTTCAGATGCCTGGTCACCACTCGGCCCCGTCCCCAGGCAGCCTGATGCTTCTTCTTTTTGCGTGGTGTGTTTGTTCCTCTCAGAGCGTCGGCATGGCGTGGACAATCGCACTACAAAATTGATTCTCAGGACTCGTCACGGGACTAACTGAAGCTGTGACGTCAGTCGCCAAGATACCAAAATTTCCTTTTGGATTTCTTTGTTGGTCCAGCTCTCTTCTCTGCGCCCTTGACACAGCCATTGGATCGACACGTATGTAGCCATCGACTCATCAAGTAGCCGCTGAATAAGTTGATTTGGTTGCTAAAAGGGATCATCAGGAAGGTCACAATCCTCTTTGACAAGCACAATATTTTAAAATCGATTTCAACATGAAGTTCTCTGCTATTATCTCTCTGGCTCTGTTGAGCTCCTCAGCCACGGCATTTGCCCCTGCCAGCAAGCCCGTTGCAAGCAGTGAGTTTCCTTGTGAGCATTGCTTTGAAAACTATCGAGGCGGCATCTGATGTCACTAACGATTCCTTTGATTTTGTAGGCACTGCTCTCAATGCGGAGTCGTCCCGTCAAGATTTCCTGAAGACCATGTTCGCCGTGGCATCGGTCCCTCTTATCCAGGTGGTTGCCCCTGAATCAGCGAGCGCTGCAAAATATGGTGGATTCGGAGCTGGATCACCCAATGTCTTCGACCCAAAAGAAGCCATTGTGGACGAGGACATTTTGAAATCTGGAGCCGTCCAGGATGCTTTGGGAAAAGTCAAGGGATACTCCAATCTGGTCAAGGAAATGAGTGCTGCTCTGGACCAAAACCCTCAGGTTGACCTGGGACCCACCATCCGCAAACAATTCGATTTTGTGCAGTTGCGGTCTTCCCTGAACACATTGAATACCGCGTTTGACGAGGATACACAACGCGGAACTGACCGTCTGATTCGACTTGTGATGCAGGATCTGACAGAATTGGAGACATCGAACAGACAGAAGGACGGAATTGTCCGAAGCGAACGCCGAATGGATATCATGAAAGGAAAGCTTGCAAAGTTGGGCACTTCCTTCGATGACTTCTTGGCCTTCGCCAACTAATCAATCAATCCATCTATCAATCAGACTCTTTTAAAAACACAGCACAATTCTCAATGTCACTCTCCAGCATCTTCTAAAGATTGAATCTGATTGTACTTGCTAGTCCTGGAAATCAGAGAGTGCTGTGACGGACATTTCGCCTCTTTGTGAAACCAAGCTTCCAACCGAAAAATGCCATCTCGTGCCTCGAATACGTTTCAGGCGTCGTGTTGCTCGCTCCTCGAGGGGTTTCTGAACAACCAAACCGTGGCAGATCCCGGCGGGTTGGTCAGCAGAGCCTAGCTGGTTGGTCAGCAAAACCAAGCTGGTAGTTCAGCAGAGCCTAGCTGGCTTGACTGTCTGATGATGTAGGCCCTCTTGACATTGTATGCCTGGATCAGAGGGGATGGTCTTCAACTTTCAGAGTGTTTAACTGGGGTAGTAGATCATTTTTGGTGAAGATTCTATTGGAGAATCACACATTACCGGCCGTGCAATCCGCGTGGCCCCTCGACCGCACGAAGCTTTGAGATCCATGCATAGCTTGTCAGCGGTGGCGACGCTTTCGGGCGAAAGTGGGCTTGGATTTGCCCAAACTTCTGACCTTACCGACTGATCCAAAACTTCAATGCCTGCCAGTGGCATTGGTTGAGACGGTCAATGGCTGCCAGTGGCATTGGTTGAGACGGTCCTCCTACACTACAGCACCAGGGACTAATGATACTTGTTCAATTTGACCTGTACCAGTACAAAATTATGTAATAATTACACAGGAAACAACTAGCTAGATTCCATCGCCTACTAGCGAGAACAAAACATGGGATGGGCCGAGCTTCGCTTACGACACCGGAGATGATCCGGAGTGGTAATGGGCTTCAAAGGCCATCCGAGCAATTGCCATGGTCACAGATTGGCGGTCTGCTCCAGCCACGCACACGCTGGCAGCTTGTGAAGCCGCGTGATGGTACACGGTACCGTGTGGCATGATCACTGGCATGAAATCCTCTTGCTTGGGCGAAAGGGGTGGTGGAGTTTGAGGGTTGGGCATAGCCGGAGGTGTTACGAGATCTCTGCCGCCATCTCCCGAGGTGCAGCTGTCCAGAGCCAATCCAATGGAGACATTACTGGCGTCAGACTTTCGTCGCTTCATGGATTGATATTCTTGGGCTCTGCTGTTGTTTTGGTCCTTCCCCAAAGGCCCGGACGATTGCTTTGGCGACGAAGGCGACTCGTCGTTGGTCGTCTTACGATCAGTCAAATTATTGCAATCTGTCGGATGAGCAATATCCATGCCAAAGAGACTTGTGCTGGAAGTAACATAGTTCATCCCGGCAAGATTGGTGTTGGATTCATTCGGGGAATCAGGTGACGTCCGGTCGCAAGATCTACGTCGACGCTGACGAGCAGGTTGGTAGCTTGCAAAACGTTCCTGCTCGATGGCACTTGGCGATGCAAGGACGAAGCATTCGTCTTCATCAATGTCACTCACGGATCCCATGTCTCCATTCATAGAATGCTTTTCCTCCATCATGGCTTGCAAGATTCCTCCCGACTTCGAGGGAGTCAACAACGACTTGGTTTGAACTCCCATGAAGGACCCCCCGCTGAATTCGCCAGCAGAGGGCAACGACGTTTTGTCTGAAGGTGATGTCGCGATCGCTTTCATGGGCAGGCACCACAAGACTGGCAAGGGCTTTTTGGCTGCCTCCGTCTGGACAGACGAATCCTTGCCCTCGTTGGTGCTGCCATCCGCTGATAGGGCCAACGAGTTGGACGATGCAGGGAAGATCGGCCGCCGAAGACTTACAAAACCGCTGGTGTTACCCTCCGGTCTGTTGGCAGTAGTCGCTGCGGTTCCTCTCAGAGAAGCCGCTGCGGTCGAGTTCAAGAAGGGCGACGTCACATCCATGTCGATATCGGATGGCGAGGGAAATCGGGGCAATCTATGTCCACTTTGCCGACTGTGGCGACTTGAAGTACTGCGCGGCGTCAGTGTCACTCGAGGCAATGGAGTTTGTGGCGTTCGGGGAGTTCTCTGTAGACCAGGAGACTCTTCCATGCGGCGCTGTTTACTGCGAGGTGTTGGAATCCCAGGCGGTGGACCCGACGCGGGGGAGGAAAAGATCCTGGGCGACATCATGGGGGATGGTCTTGGTAGAGGCGACAGAACACTGTTATGTACCGTACTGATGCTATCACAAGATGGTTGCCGACAGTGCACAGTTCTGGGAGGCCACATTTTTGGGTCGTCTTTTGGCGGGGTATTGTGGTTATTCTCATCCCCACCATTGCTGCTGCTTCCGGCGGAGGAGTCCAAGGACAACCACAAGGAACTCATTCCACCTCCTGGTAGAGGTGGCAAACCAGAGTTGCCTTCTCGTTGTGACGACTTGGAGTGTTTGAGCACCGTTAAGGGGGCCAGCTTGGGTGACGATTTGACGGAAGATCCACAGCCACCTGGCGAGGATGCCGAGGCTCTCGCTACCATATTCATCCTGGTGTTGGAACCAATCGATCCCGATCCAAAGCTCCTCAGGGAGCCGCAGGGCGAAGCCGAATTGTACACGGGAGTAAAAGAAGATCGTGGCTGGCCTGTGCTAGACACAGATCCCGGGACCATGGCGGGCCTTTGCGGAGCTGTTCCGCACGACGACGAAGAGGATGACGGGGGCCTTCCAAATCCCGACATTAGCGTCGGAGGAGGGCTTGGCAACGACTTGGGTGGAGACCTCGAAAAGTCCTTGCGCTTGGGAGACTGCAAGGATAAGCACTGAAAGTTCACCATTGCATGGTCCATGCGCCTCTTGTCTCTCGGAGGAGTAAGTCCCTGTCGATTCGGGGTAGTCATTGCAACTGGCGGAAGGACCGTTTGCCGTTGCTGCTGGTCTACTGTCACTGGAGGAGGATTCTCGGTGGCGGTAGCCCCAGGTATTATCTTGGGTTGTAGCATGGGCAACGCCTTGACTGTGAGCAAGGCTTCGCGGGCCGTGGGTAACGACGAGGTATCCATGGAGTGTGCCGACCTCTTTCGCCCTCGGATGGCCCCGTCTCTTCCTGTCGTTGATGCCGTCATGGTACTACGTGGCTGTAGCCGAAAGGGCTTGGAGAAGATGCTTGTGGGAGGAGACGATCTTCTTGTTGTGTCGCTGATATTGTTCTGGCGGGGTGCGCTCGAAGTGGATACCACAACCACGCTCATAGGAGGTTTATGCTCCGCTTCTTCGCTTCTGGAATGTGGATCCTGCGTTGCCATCTTGCAGCCTCGAGGCTCCAAGGTTTTAGGCAATGTGGCCGTAAAAGGTCGAGGAGCATTGCAGCTGTGGGTAGCAGCAGTTACGGGATCAAAAGCAGCCTTTGGTAGCTGCGGAAGCGTTCCAGTCGAGACCGCAGCACTTATATTGGTCTCAGGGGAGTGCCCCTGGTGGTTGCTATTGCTGTTGCTATTGGTATTGGAGTCTTCCATCGTGCTCTATCTCGCACTTACAATGTCAATTGCGAAAAGGATTCTCTGTTGCTGCTTGATGTCTTTGTTCTGGAATCTGGAATGGCCGAGCGAGAAAGGCGAAAAAATTCGCACATGACGTTATTGCGGGAAAATGAATGAAGCAAATTTCCGAAATGAGTTAGTTGATGTCTTCCCATGGGACTAGTAGCGCAGTTGAGAACGGTAGAGATAGAAACAAGGACAATGCTGCTACCGTACAAACACACCTCCCGGCTATCCGCAAACGAGGGGTATCCTACCACCTGGTAGCCACAGAACCACCAACACCCAGAGACTCACTCAAGGAAAACAACCGCAGCATCGCTGAATAAATCAAATGGGAGCGTTGGAGGCAGAGGTCTGCCCCCAACACGCACGCGTCGGCAGCAACAAAACAACGGCAACAGCAATAGAGCACCGGCAACAACAAGAGCACCATCGTATCGAGACAGAGCGGAACTAAACTTACCAACAACAAGGACGACAATAACCAGAGGTGAAGAACGTTACCCACACACTAGCTAGTAGACAACAGCGAGCAGCAATGCAAACAAGACGTGTTGCTAGCTTGCTGTCTGTGTCAACCAGCAGCTGGAGAGGACAATTCCGTTCATTTGATTGGAAATTCAGGTGATTGTTGCTGCACCTGGGCTGTTCTGTGGAAGCGAGCGGCATCATTGAAGACTACTGAATTGCTATAGTGACAGAAAAGTTCAAACAACGCAATAGTTGAATATATCCCTGACGTATGCGTACTTTGCGAGCGAAGAGTCAGTTAACTGAAGAACCATCGGAATCTGGAAACCGGAACAGTCAGTATTTATAATTTTTAAAAGGAGACATTCTTGGTTTCTGACATAGCTTCTCAATGGCAGCTTTCAGCTTCTCGTTCAACGTCACAGACATCCCACAAAACACAGCTGGAGGCGTTCTTCTATCCTAACTTCCGGACTGACAAGTCGCGGATTGGAAGTTGAAACACGCAAAGTAGGAAAAGAACTGCCCGGAAATTAAGTAAGCATGCAAAGATGGGAAATACTTGATTGCCAAACGCTTAGCTTGTAGCGCACTCATGCCTCTCCTATTAGATTGTTGATGCTGATGTGGAAGATAGCTGCCTTCACTCCCCACATACATGTAGCAGTATTATTAGCGTAGAATTTGAGGCCTTGGTACTCCTCTAGAGGTCTAGCTTATCTTACTGGTTTGGGCAATCTGAGTGTCTGCTAGGTTATCTTAACATTTCCGTGAATTGGAGTACCTTGTACTCCGTATCTTCATACGACTTTAGCAAAAAGAGACTGAACTATGTAATGTCATTCACAAACAGTCGAATTGCCAACACACAGGCTTTCGCTGTGTGGTAACTTTTCGGTTGTTGGACTTTTTCACCCCCTTGGGAATCATCAGTGCTTGGGTTATTGTGGTACTTATGAAAGGCCGGATTGTGTTGGCAGGCGGCATATATTTCGTTGCACGATTTGATCAGCTTTTCCGGCGATTCTCTGGATCGTTCCAGTATTTCGAGTCGCTCCCTATTGGATAGGCTGCAGTGTGGTGTCCCAAAGGTCTTGACAGTGCAGATTGGGTTGCCTTACCATAGGATGCTCCCTTTGATCTTTGAATGTCTCTATTGATGCTGAATGACGATGGAGGTGCAAAGTTGCGGAATTGATTAGCAAAGTGTCTTTGGTATGAGTCTGATTTGTGTCTGAAACTCACCTATCTTAAGTGTGAGTGAGAAGTGTACTATTATGGTGCGTACCGCGTACCGGCGACGGAGCACCTGGTACGTACTGGTACGGGTACCGGTGGTGCAGGTCACTTTCAATAATATCAAAAGTCTTCTTTCAAAGTTTTACAGACTCGACTCTGGACTACGTGCCCAGACTCGACTCGACTCGACTCGACTCTCATCCGTGATGAGACTGTCACACTGTCACTAGACTTTTTTACTCGAGACTCGGAGTTGTGAGAAAGGATGTGGCAAAAAAATAGTCTGCGCAAGAGGATAGATCTTCGGAAGATCTTGCCACTTGCGGGATACCGTACGCTAGCTAGCCACTCATGGGCAGATGAGCTACCTCACGCGCTACTATCAGAGAGAACAGGGAAGATCAAGGCATGGCAGTTGAAGCTCATCTTTGGACTGTTGCCAAGTTGCACTTCTAATTGAACATTCCTGGATTCTTAAACAGATTGATGAAAGAGAAATCGAGATGCTTGTACCAGCTAGACTAAATTTTTGGAAGACGTGATTGTAGTTGGGTGTTCGGAATTACCACCTCTGGTGGAACCATCACCGATCGAGTTCATCCTCCTCTTTGGCAACTATTGTGTGCCCCATGGTTGGTTCCAGCCAAGAAAGTGCTTCTTCAATGCAAAAATACAACGAAATTGGTATTGTCTGGCTACCAGCTAGCTGGTGCTTTTTGCTTCTTGTCAGGGGCCCAAACTCCTGTCCATGGGAACACTTTTGAATAAAGTCTCTTTTGAATAAAGTCTGGTAGACTCGTAGACTAGGAAAACTTGAACACTCTGCCTGGGAAACAGGTGTCGAGCAGCAACACAGAGCAAGTAAGTAAGTGAGGAGTGAAAGGCTTGCTTTCCTGGTTGGGCAGTAATGCCGGGGCGACCTTGTTTCGGTGCAGACAATTGCAAGGTGGAACAATAAAACTGTTGACAAAGTGTTCCAACTGCCAAATACAGACGGCCCAGGGCCCAGATCTAAAGTGGAAGAGAAGAAAGGACAAAGAAGCAAAGATTCAAGCTGCGGCTGCTACTGTGGCCTTCCTGACCCATGAAGATTTCCAAATAGAAACCTCCAATGATTATTGGACAGCTCTGCCGGTATTATGCTTGTAGGTTATGAGTTTACGATTGGATCGACGGCGTTTTCTTTGGGTTCTCAACCCTTGGCTGCTGCCAACATGTGGTTGGTTGACAGGAAGCCTCGTCATTGTGTGAGAATTCTAAAGATCTGAACAAGAAAATGCGAAACCCAGAGCAGAAGGATCGGCATCGTTCAATTGCAACCATTGATGCACGAAATAAAACCAAAATAGAGGGCAACACAAAATAGAAACCCTATAGCAGAGGAAGCATCGCGTGGCGTTTGACTATATAGTTGCATCATTCTTCCTTGCTCGATCTCCCTGGGCTACCCTTTCTCATTTTTGGGCATCATCTTCAATTTTTCCCTTGAATACCCTTGAATCCAATCTATTAATATTATCAACATCCCAGCCAGAATCAGTAAACCATGTTTGGCGGCTTTGGAAAAAACAATGATCGCAATAACGAGCCTCAAACGTTATCTCAAGCCATGCAGCCTGACAATCCTCCTCGCAAGGGCGGTGGCGGAGGAAGTTTGTCCAATTTTGACCCAGAAGGTTTAGAACGTGCTGCCAAGGCCATGCGAGAATTGGACAAGAGCCGAAATGCTACCAAAGCCTTTGAAGTTATCAAGACTCAAGAAGCTACAAAACAGCATGAAAGTGCTGCCAAACGCGCTGAAATGGAAGCGTACTCTCAGCAGCAAAGGGCGCAGAATATTGAGCGTGAGGCCGAAGAAGCGCGCAAAACTTTGGATGCTCAGACCCAACATGAACGTCACCGTGCTGAGTATCAAGATGAGCTGGAAAGGAAGAGACAGGTGGATATGTTGAATGCTCAAAAGTACATGCAAGAGTACGTAGAGTTGTTTTGGGGATATTTTTGTAAAGACGAGTATCAACCTGATCATTCCTCACTCTTTGAAATTTTGCTTTGACGTTTTTAAAAATTTTACAGGGAGCAATTGAAAAAGCAAGAAGAAATGGCAGCACGCCAAGAAGAAATGCGTCGCAAAACAGCTCAGTATGAAGCGGAACTCAAGACAAAGACAGAAATTGCCAAAGCCAAGGCACAATCCGAAGGAAAAATTCGTCAGGAGCGTGAAAACCACGATCTCATTCTGCAAAAGCTTCGCATGGAAGCCGCCGAGCAACGTGACACTGTCCTCAAGGCTGTGTCAGATGGAGGAAAAATGCTTGGAGAAGGATTGGCATCTTACTTGGATGATAAGGACAAACTGAGGAATACGGCCCTCACCATTACTGGGATCGCCATTGGGATTTACTCTGCCAAAACTGGGATTGGTATTGGAGGGCGATTTGTTGAAGCTCGTCTGGGCAAACCTTCTCTGGTGCGAGACACCTCCCGAATGACATTTTCTCATTTGGCCCGTCACCCCATTACATCCATGAAACGCATTTTGGGAGTGGGTAAGAATGAACAAGACGCCCTCAAGGGAATTGTCTTGGAAAAGGGCCTTGATACCCAACTTCGTCAAATTGCCACCTCGACCGCCTATACCAAAAAGAATCGGGCTCCCTTTCGTCATTTGCTGTTGCATGGCCCTCCTGGGACGGGAAAGACCATGTTTGCCCGTGGATTGGCTCAGCACTCGGGGTTGGATTATGCAATTTTGACAGGTGGTGATATTGCACCCCTTGGACGAGATGCTGTGACTGAATTGCACAAGCTGTTTGACTGGGCCAAAACCAGCCGTCGTGGACTGTTGCTGTTTGTGGACGAAGCGGATGCATTTTTGCAGTCCCGTGAAGTGAGCAAAATCTCGGAGGATCAACGCAATGCCCTCAATGCCTTTTTGTACCGCACAGGTACGGAAAGTGATCAATTCATGATGGTATATGCCAGCAACCAGCCCAGTCAGTTTGACCCTGCCGTTTTGGATCGTGTTGATGAAATGGTGGAGTTTGACTTGCCTGGGCCAGAGGAACGCAAAAGCATGGTTGTGATGTACATTGATCAGTACTTGCTGAAACCTCCTGGTCGATGGGCCAAGCCAGTGCAAACAGAAGACATTGGGGAAGCTGAAATCGAACAGGTTGTGAAAGAGACGGAAGGCTTCAGTGGCCGTGCCATTTCCAAGCTGGCAATTGCTTGGCAAGCTGCTGCTTATGGAAACGAAGGCGCTGTATTGGACAGGGAAACCTTCTTCAAGACGGTTGAACTGCACAAGAAGAGCATGTCAACAAAGGATTTGTGGTTGGAGGAGTCCAAGGCACGAGCCAAGATGTTGACTGCTGATGCCTAGATGGCAACAATCTGCCTTCTTCACAGCAACAAACCAACCTTGTAAAGAAAGTTTGTTTCCAACACGGACCTGACAGCAACAGACTAACACTTGTAAAGAAACACCAGACTAAAATGATCTGTTTTTTAGTTGTGTACTACAGCAGCCTAGCTAGCTAAAGCTTTTAAAAAGGCGGATCAAAATGCCATTGCATAGGGAGAAAAATCTATCTTCCCGGGATTTGGCTCCACCGAAAACCACTGCGCGATACGTAGTCTAGATTATGCCACTGCTCCTCCTCTATTCCTCCATCTTGTACGGAGGCGTTTCGGCAACGTAATTGACACCTTCACCATACTTGGCGTATTGCACTGCCAGCGGACAAACTGCCAATGCCTTGTAGTTTCTCCAGAGATCACAAATGTTGTCGCGGACCTCTGGCGTGTTGACGTAGACCACCACCAATGCATCGTAACCGCCAGCTCCGGGAACTAGAGACGCCACCACGCCCGAAAGCGCCATGGTAGCATCCGCCAATGCCGTTTGTTCGGCTGGTTCAACGGGGACACCTGCCAAGTCTCCCATGGATTTCAGGTTCTTGCGGCATTCCAAGAGCGTCTTTCGCATGTCACACAAGACATTCCCAACTTTGGCAGTTTTCTCGTCAGCACTGCCACTGCTATTCCAACCATCTTCGAGTTTGCACTGACTCAAAACCTTGGTCATGGCTCCAATGTCAGCGCCATCCAATGCCGCCACAATATCATCGGCAAGCTTGACAACTTGTTGATTAAATTGGAGCAAATTGGTCCAGCAGGAAACATCATCGCTTGCTGCCTTCCAACTCAATATTTTGCGTGCCATGGAGGGCGATTCCGATCCTCCCGAGACATCAGCCAACATAATTTGGAGCAGATCCGTGTTCCAGGACAAGGGTTTCTGTACGACGGGCCACTTGAAATTTTCCGGGTTTTCATCCACCAGTTTCTGGAGTGTCTCAACCTTGGAGGGAGGCATGGCTTTTTTGTCCCCCACCTTGTCAAGTTCTTGAAGTAAATCACTGAGTAGACACTTGGGGAATCGTTGGTACACATGCGATCCGTAGGAAGCACTGCTGACATCAAAACCACTGCCTACTTTTCCTTGCGCGTGACAATGGCAAATCTGCGCCAAATTGTGAATTTTGCGACGCATGGCAGCATCCAGATCCTCTCCCGAACAACTACCCGTCATGGCCAAGACGAGTGCTCCCACCAAAGAGGTTGTCAACGCCGCACTGCTGCCCAATCCCGTCTTTTGCAAGGAACCCGACGAGAGATTGCAAGGCAAGAATTTGGGTAGTTTGGCCAAGTTTTCCGCTGTGGCTTCCCACTCTCGTTTTTTCAAATGAGGCGTGACGGAATAAAAATCATTGTCGGCCAAAATGGTAATTTCCAAGTCACAGAGGGTTTGCTGTTGAGAAACCACCAGATAACAAAGGGTTATTCGGAGAGATTTTTCCACAAAGGGATTGGTAGATTTGTTGTCGGCATCGGGAGTCAATTCCAAGCCTTGCTCCGAGATTTTAGCATTGTACTTCCAAGTCGCACCGAATTGAGGACTGTGCACCGAAATGGTGGCGGAATCTTCCACCTTGGGCTTTTTATTGGTAGGTTCACTATCCGAAGAAGGGACAGGTTCATGCTTGACGACGGTCGAATAAAACTTTTTGTCCACGGCTAGAACCACACCCACATTGGGAGATTCCAAAACTGTGTATCCTCCTGCCAAGAGGATCTTCCCTGGCGCCGAAACTGTAGTGCTGGTGGTTTTGATTTTCTCAGTCATCGTTCTTGTTTGCAACAAGAATAAGATTTTTTATGTTCCGCCAAAGTCTTGTTGGAGCTCCCGTGCGTAATTGCTTTTGTTGCTTTGAGCTCGATCGTCAACCTTGTTGCCATGTCGTCCACTGTTGGGTCGGATGCAGCAGACACGGCCATGGCCGGATTGGTTTGGGGAGTGTTCGGCTAGCTAGCGAACACGTCACTGTGCCAAAGAAAAGATATCGGCTGAAAGATCAGTGAGAACAACCATGTCCCCTCGCTCGCAGGAATCATCAATCAGTCATTTTCTTGGTGATCTCCTCGAAAGGCGAAATGCTTCATCATGATTATGTCTCGTTTGTCACCGGTACAGAAATGTGAGAGACAGTGAGATTTTGTTAATTAAAATTATTTCTATAGTGTTTCAGTACCAGTCTCATCTGAGATCAGGATGGGTCTCAGGCCCCCAGTATGGACTCAGGTACAGGAGTTACATAGACTACATGTACTTCCGAGCCGCTGGCTCTGGATTTGCCTTATCGTAGAAGTTGTTTGAGTGACAAGTCATCTCTAGCCAGAGCTTATCACCGAAAGCTCACCGAGCTGCCTGTCCAACAACATTGCGGAGCCATCATGATAGTAGGCAGTTTCAGAGCGCGCTGGCTGCCTTTGGGTGGACTACCGGTAGTAGTCTAGTTATGCTTGAAATTGCTTGGACAAAGCCAAGCCTGGCATCAGAAAAAAGTACGGTGCCAGCTACCAGCGACTGTAGCAACAGCATCTAGCCACATGTAGAATATTCCATCAACGAAAAAGCCAAAAACTACACGCTAGCTAGCTACTACAGCTGTACTATTGTACATGACATTGTGGTGGGTACCAGGTAGTGGGTCGTGAGGCCGTCATGCGGCGCGTGAAGAGCAGGAAGTCTCGTAAAACTCTTTCTGCAATGAAACTGGGGATTCTTGGTAGTTTTGGCACCATAGCAGCAACTTTAACGTGAACCGTGGAGGGACGAAGGAGTTAGTGAGGGAGATATGCCTGTGGAGCATTGGGGTTTCACAACGGGTGTACAAGCTACAGCCGTAGCTACCGTAGCTAGCTAGTGTGGTTGTCTCGGTGCTTGCAGATTGCAGATGGCCATCATTGTTGCATCTCGTTCCGCTTCACTCGAGCGAACAGCGAACAGCGAACCAAAAGTTGATCACCCACAGGAAATCTTGAAGGATTTAATGGCCTTTTCACACTTTCTTTTTTAAAAAAGCTCAACTGTCTGTCAAAAGTGTTCAACAGAAGAATCTACTTTCGCACTTTTCCCCCTTTGTCCCCCCCAACCCCACAAATCAAATAATCCAAAGGATGCACTGTCTCACTTTCTTCAAGACATTGTCCTAGAGCTAGAGTAGGCTGTTCTAATCAACCAGAGCCTCGCCCCCTACACAACAAAAAAGTACGACTGTATTTGATGAAGATCTACAAGGATTGGCTCTGTATTCATCTTCTGAAGTACTTTTGGTTCCTTGTGCCATACAGTGTAGAGGGGAAAAGTGTTTATTAAAGAACTAATTTACAATGGCTGATCGATTTTAGTGGTTTTCTTCCACGGAAACATATTCTCAAACTGCCACATTGCGTGGTACTAATAGAAAATGGGCAACAATCATCAGGTGTTAGAATCAGCTCCAGTAGCTCAACATGGTAAACCTCTGAGCTAAATCAATAGCAAACGCCACTAAAAGTAGACTAGATATGCAATGTAGCGTACCACTACCAGTACATATTCTCAACCTGTATCCCCTTTCACTCTCCATGAGTAAAGTTAGTTGGATACATTACCGGCAGTTACTCTAGATTTTTGGAGACTTTGGACCTTATTACTCCTGAGGAGCTAGCCAGCTGTGAGGCTACCGGGAGTTAGGGGGGCATAGGGGGTTGATGAGTTGAGTGCTCAACTATTCTTTATGCTGTCAATTATTATTATTACGTACGTAGTGGCTACGGTAGTCTGACCGTCTTGTCTGAGCTCAGAAATGGGTACTTTGAGTAATAATCTTGCAAGGAGCTGTAAGCCTTCTGATGTGACATTACTAGTAGCTTTCATGGTGGGGGAATTATTTCAATTGTTATATACCATCTAATACTTTTTTAGTACCCCACCACCCCAGTTAGGTGTGAAGAACAGAATTGAAGGCTCTTTCAGGGGAAGCCACAATAATAATACCTGCTCAGGAGGCGAACCAGTGAAACGTGTTCAATAAATAAAGTTATGAGAGATCCGGAAGTGAACGAAAACACGGTGACACTCCGATCCAGGGGAATCGAAATCACCCGAAGGGTTTTACTGGCCTGTCCCAGCTGCCTTGGTTGGTACCAGTGATGCCTGCGGTGCAATAGCTGGGTGCGAAGCAAAGCACCTGCTTATTAGTCGCCGTCGATGTCGCCGTCGAGTGTGTGTGCAGCGGCTCACTGCTCCCTCCCACCCCCCACTCATTTCACATGTGCTCGATCCTCCCTTGTGCGTTGGCAACTCAATCTTCGATAGATATATCATCACCTACTGTTCAGTAGTTCCAATAAGGTCCCCGCTCCCTACCGTTCCAATTTGACGTACTTTACTCGCTAGTAATTGTCATCATAAGATAAGCTAACTACGAGAGGATTATGAATTCCAACAATGGCAATCGAGATATACCACGCTGGAGTGGAGGTGACGACGATGAAATCGCTGATGCTATGAACACTGAAATCTTGGACTCGATTGCCAAGCACTATGCCGCCACGGGCCAAAATGTTTCTGTGGAAGATGTTACGGGCACATCCGCCGCCGCTAGCTTGACCCCGAGTCCAGAAGAAGTGTATCAGGAGAATTCTGCAACCATGGCCGATGGCTGCAGTGAACTGGATACCGAGAACCAACGCCTCCCTGACCTTGCAAAGACCCATGTCGTACCTGAGCCTCCGATGCAGCAAGACGAACGCGTCGACAAGGATCCCGTACTGGCAAAGGTTAGCAATCAGCAAACTGCCCCCAACACGGAAAAGGGAGAGTCAGGCATCAAATCTGGGGAAGGTGATATTGAACAAGGATGCAACAATGGCAGCTCAGGACGCCAGGAAAGCCAACCCGGAGCGTTTGCGGAAGCCCCAGAAGGAGAAACTGATGCCAATAATGGTAGCAGCAGCAACGACGTTATCGTGGGTGGCGGCAGTGGCCAACCTTCTACTAGGGACGAGGGTGTGATAGCTGTGGCCACGGCGGTCCCAGAGGTTGACGAAGCTAATCTACAGCATGCGCAAAGCGTACAGGCAACCCCCACTCAACCCCGTGATGCTGCTGGTACCGACAAGGCATTTGTTCTATCAGTTGCAGGGCTGGTGGTTGTGTTTGTCATTATTGTGACAGTGGCCATACTTCTTGGGCTCGCCTTAACGAAAGACAGTCAGTCTGAACACGTCCATACTGCTTCCAAACCCACCGTAACTGCAGCACCCAACGCCACAATCGCCCCAACTTCCATGCTCGAGGGTCAAGTTTTGGAGTTGCTACCCGCGGCCTCGTTGCAAGCGATCCGACAGCCCGAGTCCGCCCAGCTCCAAGCAATGCAATGGCTTTTGGACGACCCCAACCTGGAAACTTATGTGAATGTGAAATGGAGGGTCCAACAAAGGTTTGCCTTGGCAACGTTCTTCTTTGCTACCGCTGGGCGGGGGTGGACCTCAAATGATGACTGGACATCTTATGAGCACCACGAGTGTTCGTGGTTTTCTCGCAAGTTTTTCTTTCCTCCAAGCAAGGGCATGAAGTTCATTGAGGTGGAACATGCCAACCCCTGTGAACAAGCCAACATCACCACAGAGGCAACAGTCTCAACCGACGACGATGACCAAGATACACGGTATCGGCACCTCTGGCTGTTGGACAACAACCTTGTTGGTTCCATTCCCGAAGAGATCTGGCTGCTTTCTGACCTGAGGAGCATCAGTCTCTCGAAGAATTCCCTTAGAGGCACCATTTCGCCGTCTCTTGGCAACATTTCATCAAGCATGGAGGCCGTCACAATGAGCTTGAACAAGCTCACAGGTACACTTCCCACAGAGGTCGGAAGCCTGAACTTGTCCCTCTTATCCGTTGCATTCAACCAGCTCCATGGAAAAATTCCAACTGAGCTTGGGCTGATGAAGAATTGGCACACGGCCATGTTGGATCGGAACCATTTCACCGGAACCATCCCATCGGAGCTATTTGGCGCAACCAGCCTTCGAATGCTCTACCTATTTGGGAACAACTTTACGGAAGGAACTATACCATCAGAAATTGGGAGACTTGAACGAATGGAGGACCTTGCCCTGGACGAGTGTAACTTGATTGGAACGGTACGTAACTCAGTCAACCTGTCAGCTGTGATACCCTTTCTAGCTAGCTAGTCAGTTTTGGTTGGTTCAATTCTCAAGGTTTGGGTGCATTTCTATTTTCCATGTAGATTCCATCAGAAATCGGTCAACTGGCCATAGCTTATCGAATGAATCTGAACGTCAATGCTTTGACGGGGACTCTATGTACGGAGCTTGGACAACTCTCCACGGTGCGTGCTTTGGAGTTCCAGGATAACCAACTATCTGGCCCGATCCCATCAGAAATTGCACTCCTTGGAAACTTGAAGGAATTTTTCTTGATGAACAATCAACTGTCGGGTACCATTCCTGTGGAGCTTCACGCGCTTTTGCCCCGTGCGAATGCCACCGCTTCGTCTATCAAAGCATTCAACGCGACAGGGAATCCCATAACAGACCCACTGTACACCGAAGAAGACTTGTGTTGGATTAACTCTACCTACTTCGAGGTGGACTGCGGCTCTGGCCCCCGTCATTTGAGGTCGATCGTTTGTGGATTTTGTGAATGCAAATGTTGATAAGAATTGAGCAGTGGGGTTTGCCCAAGCTCAGCTCCAAAGCTGTAGCCCCTTTGAGGAGCAATTTGAAGGGTTGCTATCATGCGACACACACACTCCGCTGGAGGTCTCTCTCCCGTTTACCAGTAATAGCTCTGGCAGCAAGATTGTCGAGGTATTCACAGTAAAGCTAATCTCTACTACATGTATGTATGCATACCGTAGCTATCATAGATATCTTGGAGCTTCGAGCACCGTACCGCGTCTCTGTCGTGCAGCTGAACTAGCCTGCTAAGTGATTCCACTACCATCTCTCTCAGACTTAAAGGAGAGCGTGTCTCGTTCGCCTAAGTATCCTAATGCCAGTATCGTAAGGAGCTGTTGAGTTGCATCCAACAAGACCTCTCACAATTTCAGCGAACTTTACTTGAACACCAACGCCGCCCGCGGAAGCATCGTTCACCGGAAAGCACGAAATACGTCTCTTGTTGCCACCATGTGTGTCCATGCAGGTACTAGTATGTCATAGGTCTGCGCATGAAATCCCAAGCAGCATGAACATACATTCAACAATGCCAAACTGATTCCACTCGATCTGCTGCTGCGACGATGAACCATTGCTCTCATCATGCACCAAGAAACCGATTGAACAACAGAGGAAGTATGGATCCACAGGTGCACGAAGCTTCAACCGCCATGGATGACAAAAACGTTAAAATAGAAGTTCGAAGGCTTCGTAATCATGCCTGGACGGAGGTTGAATTTGGCGTTTCAGTTCTTTCTCATTTGGGTATCTTGTTGCTGGAAATACAATCCCATACACACAGACAACAACGGAAAGGTATTACTAGTATGGCATCACCAAATTCCACGCCTCATCCTTGGCAACGACGTCGCAATCTATTCTGCATTCCTCGGCTCTTTGGTGGAAGAAGGCAACCTTTCTACCTTCCAGGGCGTTCCAGCAGTGTAGAGAAATCCATTGTCCCTGGGAGAAGCGATACAGTGGCACCACTGTCTCCCCTTCCGAACACAACCAACAAGAAAGTGCGTTTTGCTAGTCGCACATGGACGATGCGCAACAGCTTCAAGCAAAACCCTCAGCAGCCGGCTCATGTGGCTGGCAAGTCGATCCTCAAGAACGTAACTCCAAATAAAAGTACAAGTCCCTGTACAAAATCTGCGGAGAAGGTCTCAAAAAAGATGTCCACACCACCGCCACCCCCCTTGCACGTCTTGGTTCGCGACCAGCAGATGGCAAAGCCTAAGCAGGATTACAAGAGCAAGTCATCTCTACCACAACAAATGCTTGTGATGAATGATAAGAACAACGTATCCAAAAAGGAAAACTTGAAGACACAGGAAAAGGCCCCAGAGAAGAAAACTGTGCCATCTCTACCTCCATTGCATGTTTTGGTTTGCAACCAGTCAGAGAAGCAGAAGAGTTGCAGAAAGAACCAAGAGCGGCAAGAAAACTCTTATGAGACGCTGCTACTGGAGATGCAGAAACATCGCAAGAGAAGTCACAATTTGGCTCTATCCGCCCAAGACTTTGAAGAGGCTATCATTCCACAGCTCACCCAGCCTGTTTGATCAAAAATGAAAGATACACCTAGACAAAAACCAAGGAATGAGTTTGAAGAAAGGCCAACGCCAACTGGAGCGGATCAGATGGTCACTTGATTGACTCATTCAAGAAGAGACGATCGAGCTATATGAATGCTCGAGAACGAATGTTGATAGTGCTTGTTGAAATAAATGGTGCTGCAGCAGGTATGCCCTTAATACAAAAGATTGAGGAGGCTATGAAGGAGCAATGCATGTACCGTAAACAGTTTACGGAAGTTCTACCTTATATTGTTGTGACATTACTACCAGTATAGTATTCTATATAATCGAATCATGCAAATGTTACATCCAGAGACTGACTCTTGTACATGTATTGTTGACCGGTACCGGTAATCCAGCCCAAACAATCAAAGAGACCCACCCATCTACTAGACAATCTCTTCTGGATTGGTGCTGGTCAAGAGCCGGTGAACGTTCTCGGATAGTTTCTGCTGGTACTGCGTGGCATGCAAGCATCCCGCCACCAACTCCTGTGGATCGTCGGATTCTTCATATCCCTGATGCAAGGATTGTATGGTGGGGTAGTGCCGCACCAAGTTTCGTGCCTTGTTTTCACTAATACCCTGTACTTGCTGTAGCTGTCGCAACCAGACGTCCTTTGCCGTGACCAATGGTTGATCATTGTCACCTGTCGATGGCTTGAGTCGTTTGACACACTCCAGTTCCGTCATGGGAATCTTCTTATAGACCCCCTTGGCCAACGCACGTGTCATTTTGAGTGCAGTCGTCCAGATTTCTTCGAGGGAGTCGCAACACATGCATTCCACTTGGTATTGAATCAACAACCAAGTAATGGCGTCACGAAAGTCACTCTCATCCGGTGGCGTTTGATCCGCTGCATCTCGTCGGGTGCTATTCTTGGTTTTTCTGCGATACTCGACCCATTGACGATCCAATTCACGCTCCGCCTGGTGTAGGAGCAAGAGAATTCTAGGCCGCGGCGTGGATTGAGGCCATGCCGCCTTCCATGTGTGCTGCAGCTGTAATAGCCATTGTCGCAATTTCGGATAATCATCATCCGCATTGTCTTGTTTTGTGCGGCGCAACAAATCAATAAAGACTTTGGGATCATCAAAGACAAGGACGAGCCGATCCATGTGTGTATAGCCATTGGGATTGTTTTTCCGTAGCTCATCCCAAGCCGATGCCGCACCGCCTTGCAAATGATTCTTGCGAATCCATTGAATGGCTTGACAATTATTATTATTGCCCACCAGAGCACTGCGATACTCGTGGACGGCACAATTGTGCGTGGTGATTTCTTCATGCTGGGTCCAATCATAGGCATCCTTAGACGACAACAAGGGAGGATCCACCAGCATGACAATTTCACTAGTGGCAAAATTTCCACGTGCCGCCTGTTGTTCCAATCGTTGTCGTTTGCGTGATTCTTTCGCGGCTTCCTTCTCGGCTGTTTTGTCAGCTTTTTTCTGTTCGCGCTCTGCCTTTTTGCGCGCTTGCTCGGCTTGTTTTTGGGCCAATTTCTCTGCCTTTTTGCGCTCTTGTTCCGCTAGTTTGCGCTGCTGCTCACTCTGTTTGTTGGGAATTTTTGCTGTTGTTGTTGTTGTCGTGTTCTTTTTCTTGGTTGTCTGGAAGATGGGAACCGCTTTCAAGAGGGAGTCGTCGGAATCATCGGAGGAATCTGACTCGAGAAGTCGGCTCTTTGGAAGCTTGGATTTTGCAGCTGCTTCCTTTTTCTTGGGTGGAGCCACTTCCAAGATGGAAGCCGCCGAAGAGGCATCCGAGTCGTCGATGCTGAGTGGCTGTTGGTGACTTCCAGTACAAGAAAGTTCGACGGCCGCTCGCTGCTTCTTCTGCTTGGTCATTGCAGCCGCCACATACTCCATCCCAGAGGACTCGTCGGAAGAAGAGTCGCTCATTGTACTTCTGCAGTACTACCGGTAGTAGTCACTTTGTCTTTGTCTTTGATTGCTCTGTGGTTGCCTCTGTTGTTGCCTCTCGGCGGAATGGAATCTTGCTTTCTTGTGTCATTGGTTCGAACGAAAAGACAGGTTTGGTGTCAACGGTCTGTATTTGGTGTCAACGGTCTGTAAAATTCTAACAAATAAATGCTTGAAAATGGTGATTTTCAGGAAAAATGATGCCGCGGGAAGGTGAAGAGAAACGTTCCTGCAAAACGGCACCAGCTGTTCAGCTAGACTACCGGAACATTAGCTACTAGCTACCGTAGCGATACATGTACCCAGATGATATTATTCTGATGGAAGGCTTGCAACAAATAAATACGTACAGTAGTCAGGTACCGGTAGACTAGCTAGAGGCAGAGGAACTAAATCGGCTATTAAAGGAGTGACCAACCTGGAGGGATCATTGCCAATCAACGAGAGCCCAGAAACACACGCAAAAGCGATGTAGACGGATCTAAGCAAGGGGCTAGAATAGAATATAGTACAGGTGCGGCTGAGAATGTGTAGAAAGGTGGCTATAAATACACTCCATGAAAGGTGCCAAACGCCATGGTGTGTTTACCGTATGCATCTCGTTTGGGACCAAGATAAAAGGAATCATGGCTCTTCTACAAAGTAGTACGGTAGCTCTGCATTTGGCAATTTATCGGCACTGCCGTCGTCTGGGCTGAAACTCATCAGCGAGCAAGATATCATAGGCCTTGAAACACCAAGTCCAAAGATCTAAAAGCCACCATTCGGGAAGAAATGATTATATGAGGGGTTTGAGTTCACAGTGGCGGCTTCCATACCACTTGGGCTAAAGGGCGATGGTAGGGTAGCACACTCATTGCGGCTTCAAAACCTTCGTCTTGATGGTCTGCATCCCACTCAGCTGTGCGTCTGGTGATCCCATTCAGCTTTTGAGAATATCGGCTCTGACTAGCTAGCTACTCTAGTTATTAGGCCTTGTTGCATTTGGTCCCAAACTTCAGTCCCCCGCTACCGTCGAAGCACCATTCTGAAAGCTACGTCTCTCTGGCTGGGTAGACCACAGTATGGACGGCCTGATAACCAAGACACCGTAGCTGCTAACAACTTCGGGCAGGATAGATACATTGAAGAAACTACTCAACAACAAACAGTCACACAAAGCCATTGAAGTATTGTATTCCATAAGATATCAAGCGTCTAGTTTACTGTATAGTGTAGTGTGAGAGGGAGGGAGTATAGTTATGATTGAATGAATGGGAAACGAAGGAATCCCGTGTGTATTGGAAAAGTGGTGCGAATGATGTGAGGGCGGGTATTGAAGGAAGTGTCTGTTGGTACCGGTACAACACCCAAGCCAAGCCATCCTTTCTCCTTTGGAGGCGGATGGCAGCATGGAGTGGACCTGTCTGGTGCTACCTGTCCGGAGGATGATACCAGTAGATGGTCCAAGAAACGTGGGTACGTATCGTAGCCCATGCATGCAGAGCATCTCCAATTAATTGACATGCCAAAACCTTTCTCCAGTACAAAAAGCAAGAAAGAAGAGAGAGAAGAGCCCTAGTAGCTAGAGCTGGCACAGGATATTGTCAAAGTCCGTGGCGGTCATGGCGCGATTCCTGGACTTGGCGACTGCACTCTTGCTCATACTGAGCCCCGCCAACAGATCGTCTGGTACGACCACCGGGTCTCGTGGTGCGGGTGCTCGAGTGTGCTGAGCGGCCGGCATGGACTTGGTTCGGTAGTGGCAAAGGGGAGGTGAAGGGCTTGTCATTGTAACGGTTTTGTTGAGGAGTATTTGACTATGGTATCAACACGGTGTGGATAAGAGGCTTGAGTATATGTGAGAGTATTGTTTGTGAGACAAAGAAGCAAGTGAAAAAAGCTCCGTCCCTTGCGATTGCCCTTGTTGATGGTTCTTTTTGTTGATGGATACAACTCCTCCCAGTGCCAGATTTTTCAGGTTTGACTCCAAGCAGATGTTTGCCAAAAAGAACCGTTCGAGGTGCGGAAGTTGTGAACAATCTGTAGAAACTGTACCAGTGCTAACGGTACCAGTTCCTCGATGTTCTCGAAATAGCTAACGGTCGTGGGAGTAGACTCCGAGTGGTGCAGCATTGGGCTTCACGCAAGGAGGATGTCCCGCATGCCAAGCCAGGAAATTTGAAACGACGAGGCAGGTGCGATCCAATTTGCTTAGGACTGCTTTTATAATAGCCAGGCGTGTCTTTGAATGATGGCTTGTCCGCCATGGACAAGGCATCATCCATCCATCATCCATCGGAGTGGACAACGTTACCAAGATGCCAATGAGGTTCCTATTTCAATGGCCTGCCTCAGCGTAATCAGAAATGACCTACTACTTTCGCGGCGGTGGCTCCGAAGATAGAGAGATGGTCAAGCACAATAGCCAAACAACTCATCATTGGCAACGTACTCGTACGTCAATCACTTAATGCGTACTAACTACCGGTAGCTAGTGCCTGGACTGACTGACGATGTGGAGTATACCGGAAAACGGCGCCAATGTTGCACTTCCACCGATGTCCACTTACTTGGTCCATGTAGCCGCCAATTATTAGCGGGTACAGTATTCAATTAGTTTTGCATGCTTCGAAAAGGTCGCGTTGCCTTGACCGACTATGGGAGTATACACATCAAGACGGGATAGCATCATCCAACAAGAAGCCAAACAACATGGCGCGGCCTCCAATTAAGTTGCCAAACTCGAGTGAGTCCCTCCTCTTTCACCAAACCCGGTCCTAAAACTCGCCCGAGTGGTTGTTCAGGCATTCATTTGTCTGCTAAGTTCGAACGAGGTCTCGTCATTGGTATATAGTTGTCTGGACTACAGTTGGCGTATACTGGTATCAAACAAACGATGCACTTCCCATCAATTGACCTTTGTCAAGAGAGTAGCAAATTTTGTCATTGGGTCAGGCATGATCTGCTCGATTCCTCTTGCACCAAAAGGTGGCAGTCACGACAGAGGGCTTGATTATCCAATAAAATATCAGCACGCTGGGTTGTCAGTAAGGAATTGCTTCCACAATGGCTAAACCAGGTCGCAACGTAACATTCTACTGGACACCCCTGATGGTGTTGGATGACTTGGGTTGGCTCTCGTCAAGCCCATCCCACGCTGTCCTCGTTGCAAAGCTTTGCCGGGCATCACCCTTCTTAGTTAGAACGAGCTTTGGATGAGACCATGCCAGTTATCCAAGCACCAATCCTTCCTTCGTGCCCCCAGTGATGCTGACTTTACCACCACCAAGTCTTGAACTAACCAACTGAACCCACCATCCATGAAGCAAGACAGAGTGGAAGGAACGAAGCCAATGATTTGGTGTCGACTTGGGTACACTCACCTCGTTGAGTCAGAGGGTCTTCCAGGAGACTTGCTTGTTCAGGCTCAGCCAAAGATAAGGTGCCTTCAAGTCAACTTGCTCCAGCGGGAACATGTACATTGCCGTAGTTGGGCCGGTTCCACTTTAGGACTGATTCTCTGTTTACCAGTCAATCTTTGAAGTGGACAACCTAGCTGTGTGGCACACATGAACGAATCCAGGTTCTGACACTAGGTGGGGTGCTTGGGTGGATGAACCCGCAGCGATGATCGAGTCTTCCTGCAGGAAGAACCATCGAGCTTTTTCACCGATTAGCAGTCGTTGTTGCCGCCGATCTGTTGACTGCCGAGCTACACAATGTAACCATGATCACTTCTTCACTTGGTTTGGCAACTGTGGCTGGACGTGACGACTCCCAAGGAGATCTTACAGGTCCCCCTCGGCTCGGACTTGCATGCTCAAGGAATCGGTTGGAACACCATGCACAAAGGAACTAGGATCCAGCTAGAAAGATCCTATCTCGGTTGTTGGGATGTGGTGATCTGTGGCCAACGGGCGAAAGGATTGGCTATCTAGCTAGGAGAAGCAATGGTTGCTAGGTGTGCTACAAGGTCGTGAAGCCATGCATGGTTACTAATTGTTAATTAAGAGTTACAGCACCGCTTGGAAAACCTGCTTGGCCTGGCTGATTAGCGTTCTACTAGAGCTTGTAGCGGGTGTTTGATGTAGCATGGATATTCGAATGATGGAGTATTCATGGGCTCGCTGCCGTGGTGGAAGATGGACGTAGCGGAGGAGAGCGCACACACAACCCAACATGGTGTGCCTTGAAACCTTCTCTTTGGTGGCTAACACTCGGCGGATTGTGGTTCACCCGCACCTATTCTTTCGTTGGCGGCTAGAGGGTTGCTGTTGCTTCCATCCAGTTCGTACTCTTCCAAAGCTTCGTCCAACTTGGGGAGAATATTTCTGTGAAAGTCCTGTGCTGCCATGGCGCGGTTCCTGGATCTGCGATGGCACGATCTTCGAGCTGCCGAGATGGTCGTTGAAGACTGAATCAAGTCCGTAATGATGGGAAGCACGCTGCTGCAGCAGGTAGTTTGGGTGCACGTGGAACGCGAACTGGTACGGGCGTGATGGACTTTCTTGGGTGCTGCTCCTTCGAGCAGTAGATCTCCTTCCCCCCAGAACTGGTCCACAATGGACTTGGGAGACTCGATGCGGATTTCGGCGACGGGAGGGATATCCAATCCATCGTCATAGTCTTCTTGCGCATGGAGGTAGAAATCATATTCATAAAAGGAAGCATTCAAGTCGTCGCAAAAGAGTCTGTCTCCTCCTTCTTGTAGAGGCACCACAATCATCATGGAAGGACTTCTTTGATGGTATCCCTGTTCGTCAGCCATGGCTCGAGCTTCTGCCATATCGTCCAAATCGAAACTGTCCATTGTATGTTCTTCCTTGTGTTTTTGTTCTAGGTGATTATCTTGATAATCTTGTGTGCCCCGTTCGTTGGATGGGTAGCATGCAGTAAAGTACGCCCAACTGGGTTTGCGTCGTGCTTTGCGTCGTGCTTTTGTAAACCAAACGAAGCTTCGGATTGAATTATGCTTGTGTGCTTGTGTGCTCAATTGCTTTGCTTGCTGGAGCCTGACCTATGATGTGTTCCAGTCCCTGTTGATTTGTGCGCTTTTGAGTTGCCTGGTGGTGAGGATAATGCCGCCACTGAACTGACCTGGTAATCCAAGGTACAACAACGCGAAACGAGAGTGGGCGTGAGAATCGAATCCTTCGGTAGAGCCCAAAATCCGCAAGGTGTGCACAAAGAATCAAACCCGCGCGCCCCAAGCTCGAGCCAACCGTGTAGATGGGGTGGAAGCGCTCACTGTCTTTTTTTCTCACGACTGGTGCCTGGAAGTCAGTAGATGAGCCCTCAAGATTGCATTACACGTATTTAACTTGCAGGTCTCGATCATGCTTGCCGAAAACACAGTTAGAGTCTAGTTCTACCGCACAGCACGCAGTAAGCTGCGATGATGAGGTTCCCTCCGCCGGAAACTGTGGAGTGAGAAAGGCGGGAGATTTACGGGACATGAATACATAGACAAACCGGGCTGTACCCGTGGGAAGATATGTCACACCACCACTTAGAATTAGTAAAAGCTTAGGCTACCTTTAATGCTATCAAGTCTGATCGTGGATGAGAGATGCTATGTGCACAATGGGTTTTTGAGATTATTCCATTCCACTCTTTTGTTGTACCAGTCAGCTTGACAGTACAGACCAACTATAGTATGTCCACCTGTTTTCTTTGATGTAAAATCTGATTTATCATCACTTTACGTTGAAAACAGTGATTACAAGATACCCCCTAAGCAGGAAGGTCAACTGGTCTGCTTGCTTTGTGTATGAGGGGAACACCAGCTTCCTCAGCATCTCACATTATTTATTTTAGAACTCGTTTTAGTCCTTTTCATTCGCAATTCGGCACGACGTAAGCTGCACGAAGACACCACCCTCTAGCACCAGCTCTATCGGCTTTCTTACTAGCTGGTGATGGTGCTGTTGAATCCGATCTACTAGTCTACCAGGTGGTACCAGTATCCATCAACTGCATGTACCGGTACAGTAACTGTTTGTTGATAAAGCCCCTCGTTCCCAGTCCGGGCTGAGCAGCCATCTTACTGCATGTACAACATGTACAGTATGTTTGCACCGCTACATGTACGTACAAGAGTATTGAGTATTGTACTGGAGTTGGTTGGCTGTTCGGGTTGGCTGCCTTGCTTGCCAATCAAAGGCAAGATCAAAGGCAAGATCTTGGCTGCCAAGCTACCCATCTATCTATGTGCTGGCGAATAGCCACTCATCAGGCAAGGTCATTAAAAATGTTACCTTGTAGCCTTGAAATGAAGTGGGGATGGACTCGACTCGATCATGGTTGAATTTTGAGTTAATTAATACCAGTGGAAAGGCAAAAAGTTACCATCGTGTGTTCTAGCTAGCAAACAGAAATAATGATCTTTGATACTTGTAACAGCTCTTGTAACCCCTCGCAACTCGGAACTGCGATTGTCCAGCGAGGATGGATTGAAGTTCTGCCCGTCAGGACATTTGATGTTCCTTGTTGCTCGGAAACAATGGACAATCCACCAACCATGGTTCTCCTGGAGCTCGATCTTTGCACACCTAATCTTCCAGCTTACTTCTCGCTGCTGGATAGTTTTAGTTAGGATCTGCCCTTTATTGGTGCCGGTGGCTAGCTACTAGTCTGAGCCATGCTGTGCTCGGTACTAGTAGGCTTCAGATCGATATTACTTTGGGTATTCGTCTGCCTTATTGTTTGACAGCTCTGCCGGGAATCTTAAGGGACATATCCCTGCCCCTACTAAGATACCCCTGTCATTGCAAAGATACGGCTTCAATTTGATTTTTGCAGAAACGTTGACACCACCAGCATTGGGCAGTTGGTCCCAATGCGGC